CATTTACAAGGTCTGAGAAGGGCAGTAAAAGAAAATAGAGTGGGTGAAAACCAGACCCTGGAGGGTGTTAAACTTTGGAGAACATGGAGAATCTCTATTTCTGAGAAAAGAGGAAAACTATACTTCAAAAACTTAACCTTCCTAGAACTCTAATAATAGAGGGTCCAAGGGAAGAGGCAAAGGCGTGAAGTTGAGTGTCACGTCTAAGGCAATAAGCCCAAATGAAAGCCCTGGCTTCCCTTCATTCCCACAGAAACTCCCCTTGGCGGACTCCCCTTCGGCCTCACCCAGGGCACACTAGATTCCCTCAAGGGTCAGGGCTGGACCCTGCGGTCTTGTTACCCTGATTCGTTTTCCCTAGGTGATGTCATGTCTGTTTAGTCAGTTATCTGCATACGCGTTTGGAAATTCTCCACCCAGACCTCACCCCCCACTCCGACTGTTAACCCTAACTGCCTGTTTAACATCCATTCCCCTTGGACACACTGAAGTAACCTCAAACTCACCATGTCCAAAATTGAACTCATCATATTCCTTACAAAGCCTAGGGCTCTTTATGCTTTTTTTTCCTCTGGAAATGGTACCACATCCCATCCAGTTACACAGGTCAGAGATTTGCATGTCATTCTTAACACTGTCTCTTTCACCCCCATACCTGGTCTACCACCAGGTCCTATGGATTCTACCTTGTGTATGTCTCTTAGATTCCTCCTGCTCTCTCCCCCTCCGTCAGCACCTCCTTAGCCCAAGACGCCATCTTCCTTGTTTGACTGTTTCCATAAAAGTTTCCGCTCACTGACCCAAATTCACTCTTGTCTCCCTGCCACCAAGTCACCAGTTCAAATTCCAAAACTAACCATGTCACCACTTTACTCAAAATTCTTTCACGGCTTCCTATGGATCTTTTTTTTTTTTTTAATGTTTATTTATTTATTTTGAGAGAGAGAGAAAGAGTGTGAGTGGGGTAGGGACAGAGAGAGGGAGAGGGAGAGGGAGAATCACAAGCAGGCTCCACAAGGGGCCTCAATCCCACGAACCGCAAGATCCTGACCTGAGCCCAAATCAAGAACTGGGTGGCTCAACCGATGGAGCCACCCAGGTGCCCCTGGTCTTACAATATTTAAAAACTTCCTCAGAAGGCCTGACTACATCTCCAACCAGCCACAAAAGCCTTTGTTTAGCCCTACACGTTTGCTACTCTTGCTCCCGCCACAGGGCCACTGGATGCACGGTTCCATCTGCCAAGAGCTTGGTATCCCTGTTTGGACTATTCAACTCCTTGGCCACCCCTCAGTTCCCAGTAAAGTCATGACTTCCTCCAGGCATCCTTCCCTGATCTCCCTGCCTTACCAGCGGTTTCTAACAGCAACTTGATTTGGATACAACTCTACGTTTGGTTGACTTACATTTGATGAAAGCATTTGCTTCACACTTGTGCCCCCACCAACATAACCCCTAAATCATCCCAACACGGGGCTGGGAAGAACCAAAAAATACGTAGGAGAGAGTGTGCCGGAGAGAGAGAATGGATTCAAGAGTTCTTCCGATTTAGAGATGCTAAATGTAACAAGAAGGAGTAGACTCAAAGATGATTACAAAGCTCTCGGGTCTGGATGACGAAGAAATACGAACTATTAGGTTACTAACTACACTGATCCTGATTGACTGATTTCATTTGTACGTGGTTTTCTTTGCTTTAGTTTGCACCGTTCCAATCCCCACACCAAAACACACTATTCTTTCATTTAAAGCAAATGACCTAAAGTTGGCTGCTACCAGCACATTCCAGTCAAGCCCCAGCACAATAATTAGTGCAGGCTTACAAGTACTCCCACGGTAAGACCAACTCTCATCCCCTGCAGCATTAAATATGAAACACCCACATGCAGGGAAACGCTACCTCGGGGCAAACAAAACTTTCTTCATAGAGGAACGTTCAGTGCATGCACGAGTAATGAAGTTCGTGGACTGCTTCTACCCTGCATAGTTTATTTTTAGTCTTAACCTAATTTCACTAGTCCAGAAATATTAACACATTATGTCTACCAATTCAGAATACTTTTCGTCATAAAATAATAAAGTACATATCCAAAGGCTGCTAAGATTTGAATTTATTTCACCCCAAAAAACACCCTTCTCTTGCGCTGGCAAATATTAGTTTGAACCTGAATTATTTTATGGAACGTGGTAAGTTCCTGCTCTGTAAGTACTTCTGTTGTTAAGCCATATTTTATCCCTTTGCACTTTTACAGGGAAGGCATTAAAGTTTATTTTTTAAGGCAAAGCTGTTATATAATAAACCATTCTGGACATGACACAGTTTATGTATTCATAAAATGTTTCTGAGTTTCAAAAGATGCATGTTATAGAGTTATCGCACCTACAGGAGTTGCCAAATATTTGCAATATTTTTGAAATAATAATGACAGGTATACACAATAAAAAGCTACCAACCGATTTCTGGGAAAGCAAATTGCACTCCGAAGTCTTAAAGAGTTTCCTAGAAGTAAAGAAATTATGGGCTTCATTCTGTCTCTGCAAGATATCAAATGCAAGGGTAGCACTGAATTCTAACATATCAACTTTATGATGTACCCATAGGACTCAAAAGTTCCCACCTATATTATTCTCCTTTGGTGGGAAGTTGGAAGAAATGGTACAAATTTGGTTAATGCTTATCTACATATATGATGCTGTAAATCAAAGACACACAGTAAACTATCAATCGGACCAGACAGACTTATATCCATGGTCTCCAGGGATGGGAGGCACACTGACTTTATTCATCAGTGTTGACCCGCCGAAGCAGGGCACCAGTGAGGTGGACAGGACAGCTCCTGACAAAACAGACCATCTAATTTACGTTGGCAAGAGACACTGCCTGCATCAGACCATCTGCTTTCTGGGAGAAACAAAGAAAATTCCAGAGTGCAACAGTAATACTGCCTTCCCTTGCAGTGAGGAGGGATGCCTGTCATTGGATTCCCTCTTCTGCCAAGACCTCTTCCCTCTTTCTACCAAGCAAACGAAAACGACGGTGACTTTTGATAAATAGGGTAAAAGCTTTTTTCTTTTTCTGAGCTGGCTTGACCATCTCATTGGCAAGATGGAGAAGCCTTCCTTAAAACTTTCTGCAGTAGCATTCTTCGTCACCCCCTACTGCTTGCTGCCTCTCTACTTCGAGAAAATGAGAACGCGCGTCCTTTTGTAAACACTGTACTTTCTCCAGAGACTCAAAGACATAACAGCTCAGAGTTCTTCAGTACGACGGAGCAAACATTGAGCTGTTGCAATGCTCACTGGGCCTTAGAGTTAAAAAGAGTTAACGGGCACCCAGGTGGCTCAGTCGGTTAAGCGTCCGATTTCCGCTCAGGTCATGATCTCAGTTTGTGGGTTCGAGTCCCACGTCGGGCTCTGTGCCGACGGCTCAGAGCCTGGAGCCTGCTTCGGATTCTGTGTCTCCCTCTCTCTCTGTTTCTCCTTTGCTTGCGCTCTCTCTCTCTCTCTCTCTCAAAAATGAATAAACATAAATAAATAAATAGAGATGACATTTGGGCGGTCTCCCTTCAAAGATTCCACGGTGTATTAAAGAAGACAAACACCTGCTATAAACAAATAAGTGAAATAACAGGTACTGTGAGACACAAGCAAGAGAATGGGAAATGGTTATTTTTGCTAATGAATTTTGGACCTGGAAAGGCTTTTCCAGGACCCAGGGTGAGGCATATTCTCTGCATCACCTCCTGATCCCTCCCTAACAAGGAAAACTATGTTTACGTGGCTAAATGAGTTACTATAAACCATTAAGTCGTAAGAGACGGCCTTAAAGGTAGAAAAGGGGTTTTAATTTTTTTTTTTTCAACGTTTTTTATTTATTTTTGGGACAGAGAGAGACAGAGCATGAATGGGGGAGGGGCAGAGAGAGAGGGAGACACAGAATCGGAAACAGGCTCCAGGCTCCGAGCCATCAGCCCAGAGCCCGACGCGGGGGTCGAACTCACGGACCGCGAGATCGTGACCTGGCTGAAGTCGGACGCTTAACCGACTGCGCCACCCAGGCGCCCCGAAAAGGGGTTTTAAAAAAAGGATAAGGAGTATTTTCAGGGTGCATCAGGGGGCATGGGGCTCACACTCCTTTGCCTTGGGCATGAAAGAAGAAAGGAGATTTCGGGCATTTGCTTTCGGAGTGCATATTGAACCAGGCTGGTGCCTGCCCACTCTTCCCCAGTTCATCTTTTAGCTGGTGCAGTATAGCTGGGAAGCAGCTGGCACGAGCTGGGGCCAGTACAGATGGCTCTGCGGAAGCTACTCCACAACGTAGCATGTTGTGTCCCTCCACACGACACTTAAAGCCTCTAAAGAACGCCACAATTACAAAATGCTTCCCTTTCCTCTCTCTGGTTTTATCTCCATTACTTTCTAAAGCAAGCATTATTACTTCAGCTGCAAAAAGCACAAAAGAGGGTGAGTCAGTCGGCTGAGCGTCCAACTTCGGCTCAGGTCATGATCTCACGGTTCGTGGTTCGAGCCCCGCGACGGGCTCTGGGCGGACAGCTCAGAGCCTGGAGCCTGCTTCGGATTCTGTGTCTCCCTCTCTCTCTCTGCTCCTCCCCCACTCATGCTCTGTCTCTCTCTCTCTCTCCTTCAAAAGTTTAAAAAAAAAAAATTAAAGAAAAAGCATAAATGAAGCATCAGAAAGGTGAAATTCGTACCCCCAAATGACTCCAATAGTAATGTTAAAAACATGTGGATGGACCCAGAAGCCCTGATACCCCAAATAACAAACTGGTGAGTCACAGCCATTTATAAAATAAAAGTTGGATATATCATATGAAACTACAAATTTCTAGAACCCTTGAAAAATTGAAATCTGGAAACTAAAACAGTTCTGGGCTAATTCCATGTGCTAGTAACAGGGTAGGAGGCAGAGCATTTGAGCACCAATGAATTCTCTACCATCTAAACCGGCCCATTCCAGATGATCTACGCATTCACCTGACCTGTTGGCATCTGAGGGCACCTGCTAAACCATATGGCAAGTGGCAGGGGACATCTCATCCAAAACGCTCAGAATACTCTTCTCCTTTAGGTCATCTCCAGCGTGATTCCATTCACACAAATTTCGTCCAAATGTCGTCTGCTCAACCACATCACATAATGTACCTAAACAGTGATGGAAAATACATCCTCTGGAAACGTCTGTCTATACCCCGATCGAATCATTTTACTGTTATAAACGATCTACATATTTGTGGAGAATAAAGGCCACTGGATTCCAATTGCTGTCTCTAGCCCTATTTCCACCTCCCCATGTTAAAGCAGACACTTTAATCTCCTGGCGTCCTACGCCTGTTCATTTGCCAATGACTATGGAATAGGTCAAGGTTTAGAGGTCTTGGAAGGTTCCCAAAGTCACTTCTATTGTCACTAGTATAATTCTAAAGAATGAACACCCAAACTAGGGCATTCTCAGTTTCTACTCTTCTAGTTAAAAGACATTATTTGGAGGGACGCCTGGGTGGTTCAGTCAGTTAAGCGCCCAACTTTAGCTCAGGTCATAATCTCACGGTTCGTGAGTTCGAGCCCCCCGTCTGACTCTGTGCCGACAGCTCCGAGTCTGTGTCTCCCTTTCTCTCTCTGTGTCTCCCTTGCTCTCTCTGCCCCTCTCCCTCTCGCTCTCTGTCTCTCAAAAATGAATAGATGCTAAAAAAAATTTTTTAAAGACATTATTTTGGGGAAAAAAGGCACCATTGATTTAAATGGCAGTCAAACTGTTGGTTAGGTTTTATGACTCCAGTTCCATTTTGGGATTTGAATTCGCCTGTGGAAAACAGATGTTTAGCTGCTAAAACAATAACATTTTAAAGTTTCATTTCACAAAAATTAAAGCACAGCTATAACCCAGAAGCTCAAAAGGAACCAGCCCACACAGTTATAGTCAGATGAGGGGCAAACAGTCTCCCAAGTCTCTGCTGAGGGGTGCACAGAGCTGCAGAAAACACACACCCTCCAACCTGACACTGGAAGGTAGTTTTCTGAAAGCCAGCAAGTGCACGGGGCCAGCCTGGAGTGAGAAGTGGACAGCCCGTGGCCTTGAGCAGGGCTGGTCAGCCACAGATGCTGGCCACGTCCTTTTCTCTTGGATCTGCACACTCCGAATTGAGCAGAATAGCACAATTCTAATGACAAGACAGAGGCAGTGTTCAGGAAAGGGAACGGGGCTCTCAGTATAGACTGTCTAGATCCCCAAGTCACAGTCACTGAAGTTCATCTGCAAAGGAGACTCGCATTTTCTAATTAATTCAATTCAACTAATATAGTTTTGCTGGGAAGGAAAGTAAACTTTGGGGACTTTTTTCTCCTACAGACGAGGAGATATTTTTAGACTTATTTCATTTATATTTGAGCAAACCACCCAATTTTTCCTGGCCTCTGTTGGCTGGTACATAAGGTGGAAGGATTTACTTCGGTACCCACTAACTTTCTTTCCAATCCAGTTCTATGCTTGTATGGATTTCTACTAAGTTCATACGCTTCAGCAATACAAAACAAGCAAGCAAACAAACAAACAAACACAGGCGTTCTTTTTTTCTTCCAAATTACAGAGCGGAACATTAAATTTCAAAGTGTTTAATATTCTACCTCATAGTTCATAAGCAAAAAGAACCTTTTTTTCTCTATGAATAAAATGCATGAACTAAAGAGAGATCTCAGAGTATGGCAGTCATCAATTATCCACAAGAAAAAAAAGTCCCCTAATTTCGAGACAGGCAAGGATGAAAAGGCGGAGCACAGGAGATGTTTAGGGAAGTGAAATTACTCTGTATGGCACCACAAATGTGGATACCTGTCATTCTGTATTTGTCCGAACTCACTGGATGTCCAGCACCTATGCGGCTCCTAATGTAAGCGATGGCCTCTGGGTGAGAACGATGTGTCAGTGCAGGTTCATCAATTACAATCAATGTCCCACTCTGGTGGCCATGTTGATGGGGCAGCCTGTGCATATGTGGGTCAGGTGATATTTGGAAAATCTCTGTACCTTTCGCTCTATTTTCTGTGAACCTGAAATTGCTCTAAAACATAAAGTCTTTATTTAAAAAAAGAGAGAGAGAGAGAGAAGAAAGAAACCAGGTTTAAAAAAAAAAAAGCCTGAAAAGTAATGTTCAGGATCTGCTGGCGTGATTAAAATGAAGAGTGCTGATGCCTCTGGGGTGCCTGGGTGGCTCAGTTGGTTAAGCGTCCAGCTTTGGCTCAGGTCAGTCTTACAGTTGGTGAGTTCAAGCCCCTCTCTGCTGTTAGCATGGAACCCGCTGAAGGTTTCTACTTTTCTACTTAAAAGATATTATTTGGAGGGACGCCTGGGTGGTTCACTTAGTTAAGTGTCCAACTTTAGCTCAGGTCATAATCTCGCGGTTAGTGAGTTCGAGCCCCCTTTGGAGCCCACTTTGGACTCTCCGTCCCCCTCTTTTTCTGCCTCTCCCCTGCCAAAATAAATTTAAAAAATGTTAAAAAAAAAAATAGAGAGAGAAAGAGAGCACGCTGACGCCCTCACAGCTCTACAGGTTCAAAACCGTCGTGGGTGCGGCAGTACGGTATGAAGCGGATAAATACACATCATTTGGATCAAAATGACTGTTCTCTCAGCAGCCCCACTGGAAGGAGCCTGTCTGCCTTAATGCCTACCTGGGGAGAAAAAAATGGTTCTGCAACCAACCTTCTCTGACAACCTTTCTACACGTATAAATACAACATGTATCTCAAAAGTCATTTACACGTTTCCGGGAGAAAGGTTAAGTCACTACAGGTAGGTCACGAAAGGCAGGACATACAACGTTGGACAGTGCATGTCACAACACCGGTGCCAAGGAACCTATCCTATTTGATTCTCTTCCAGAGACTGCAGAAAAAGTAGTCCTCTGCTTTTTCAAATGCTTGAAATATCTATTCCTTTGCGATAAAACGGGTTTCTCAAAAACTTGCTTCTTGTACAAAATGTAACATTAGTGGGGGTGGAACTAGCATCTTGGTCCCAAAATTCACGTTCCCGTTTACAAAGCCAAGGTCCTTCCTCTCCCCGAGTGTTTGCTCTGAGTCACGTCCCTTATAGCCACACCTCGCTCAGTGCAGCTCAGTGTGTTGAGTTCACCACATTGAATTAAATGGTTTACAGACATCCTTGGGGAAAATTACTCAACTATTGTTTGGTATTCCTAAGCTGGCTTGCCTAAATAAAACAAAAGAAGCCAATGCCCCTTTGCCAACTGCACTTATAATTGAAATGTTACTTGTTCCTTTTTACTATTTATGCTCAAGTTTTTAAAAAAAAAAAAAAAAAAAAAAAAAAAAAACATACCAGAGCACAGGTTCTTGGAAACCTGCTCAATGTAAGTCTCAAACCCATCCAACTCTGTTTCGATACAATAGTAAACTTGGACCCCACACTCGCACTACAACATAAAAACATCTACATCCTGAAGCATTTTACATCATCTTCAATCTATTTTCAATACAAGAAACAGAAGAGATGTGAATTTTCCAGGACAGACTGCTGTAAACGTCTCATTCTCCTGTCTTCCATGTTTTTCTTCTTCCTATCCTTTAAAAACAACATCTTTTTTGGCATGCGTACTGCTTAATTTTACGTGTCAGTCTGACTGAATCCCAGGGTGCCCAGATACTTGGTCAAACATTATTCTGGATGTGAGAGTGAGCGTGTTTTGGGTGAGATTACCATCTGAACTGGTAGACTAAATAAAGCAGATACCCTCTCTAAGGCGGGTGGGCCTCATCCAATCAGTTGAAGGCCAGAATAGAACAAAAAGGCTAGCAAGTAAGAGAGAAAACTCCACCTGCCTGACTCCTTGGGCTGGGATTCCATTCTTGGTTGACTCTGGACTTGAACTGAAACACTCGCTCTTACATAGTCTTGAGGCTGCCAGTATTCACTGGAACCCCACCACTGCCCTCCTCCAGCTTCCCAACTACAGATCTTGGGACTCGCCAGCCTCCATAATTGTAGAAGCCAATATCTATATATACACACAGCTATATACAATACACACATATACACACCCTACTGGTTCTGTTTCTCTTGAGAAATGCTGACTAATACAATATGGCATACAGACACATGACCATGTCTCGGCCATTTCTCCTTTTACAGTGTTATAACCAAACCATAAGCTAGTTTCCCTGAATGAAGATGAAGGTTTTCTTCCATTTGAATATTACCTTTACCCAGCTTCACATTTTTACAGTAAAAACATGGTGTCATGTTAGAAACAGTCTAGGCTTCAATAAACATTTCCGTCATGGAAACTTGACAAACTTTTCTTAAGCACAAGCTAATCATATTTTTATGGCACGGAAAAATCATATCAGAAAGACAGGAAAATGCAGCCAACTGCCATTCACTTTAATGGAAAAGATCATAGGCCTTTTTTTTCTCCCTAAAATAGGAAAACCTACTATTTTTATTACGTGATTTTAATAGCAGCATATTGGAAACATCTATAAATGCTTGGTTTCATTTGCTTTTCCAAAGTTGTATCTTTATTTCAAAAAGAAGCCACACACACATACATCATAGCATTTTTCTTATGTTTTGAAAGGCTTAAAATGTTTTCTTTTTTTATGAAGGCCACATAAGCGTTACCAGGCTTTTTAATATCAGTGCTGTGCATCATCACTACGGGAGCCAGAAGAACAAACCTTGCGACATCTGAATGTATTTCAGGCATATTGCGCACCGAGTTGCATTTTATCCATAACACTCTCACTAAGCGGATTTCTGTGGGTTTAGTGTCAGAACCTTTCTGAAAGCCATTTGGAATCCTGGATCTTGGACCCCATTCAAAGTAGGAGGAGAGAAAGGGTGCCCGCCAGGCTCCATTGGTAGAGTATGCAAATCTTGATCTCCGGGTTGTAAGTGCAAGCCGGGCATACAGATCACTTAAAAGGAAAACAAAATAACAAAATAAACTAAGAGGAGAGAGGAAGAAAGTGACATGGTGGTTCACCAGTCAACTGAAATGGCAAACAAGATATGTTTTCCT